CCAGACCTAAAATTTTGATTTTACATACCCTACCCCAGACTAAAACTAAGAATTGTATTGTACACCCTACCCAGACTAAAAGACGGAAAAGACGGTTATTCAATAGATTGCAACAAGGGAATATTAAGTTAAATTCATATTCTCTTGATTGCAATCAATATTTACTAACGTTCTTATTGTTTTTGTGCCGGAAGAAAGCGTAGCCCAGACTAAAACGACCAAATCGTAACCCTATCCCAGACTATGTTTTGTCAGTCCATGTTTTGTGAGTCCATGTTTTGTCAGTCCATGTTTTGTCAGTCCATGTTTTGTGAGTCCATGTTTTGTCAGTCCATGTTTTGTCAGTCCATGTTTTGTGAATCCATGTTTTGTCAGTCCATGTTTTGTTAGTCCATATTTTGTGAGTCTATGTTTTGTCAGTCCATGTTTTGTGAGTCCTTGCTGTGTGAGTCCATGTTTTGTGAGTCTATGTTTTGTCAGTCCATGTTTTGTCAGTCCATGTTTTGTCAGTCCATGTTTTGTCAGTCTATGTTTTGTCAGTCCATGTTTTGTCAGTCAATGTTTTGTCAGTCCATGTTTTGTCAGTCCATGTTTTGTCAGTATGTTTTGTCAGTCCATGTTTTGCCAGTCCATAATTTGTCAGTCCATGTTTTGTCAGTCTATGTTTTGTCAGTCCATGTTTTGTCAGTCAATGTTTTGTGAGTCTATGTTTTGTAAGTCAATGTTTTGCCAGTCCATGTTTTGTCAGTATGTTTTGTCAGTCCATGTTTTGCCAGTCCATAATTTGTCAGTCCATGTTTTGTCAGTCCAAGTTTTGTCAGTCCATGTTTTGTCAGTCCAATCCAGTCAACCTTAACAAGGCTCGTTCTTCGTAATACGACCCTAACTATCGCGATGACAGACCCGTCCTCGAGGTCAAATATTTCTCTGGAAAGCCAGACATTAGGTAAGGGAATATCTTTAGGCGAGGCATTTGGTTTATTGATTTTGAAAACATTTCAAGGAATTCAGTACTGTATGGTAAATGTTGGCTGCACGACAACATTTGCTTTCAAATTGAAACAGATTACTGATAATTTGATTCATTCAAAACGATATACCAATCAGTTAGATACATTTTATATATAATTTTACTGAAACATTGTGCTCTTGCGGATTCATATCGAGGAAAAAAGACGATCAGACGCATTCAGTGCAACTACTAACTAGATTAGAATTCGAGCCTAGCAGAATACAATAGAAAATATGAACCCCTTCTGGCTAGATCAAACACATATTATATATATTTGTAAATATATGTATATATATCATTTATACTCTTTAATAAATATATACCAGGAAACATTTTTCAGAGCGACCCGCTCGAATTCTAAACTTATTTCTTGGAAGTGGCGTAGTGCTCTGATGTAGCATATTAAATTACCTATTCTGTTCAATAGATTTCTATTCTTAATAGTCAGTGACATGCGTAAGCTATTATATATTGTCTTTTTTTCTGGAGTCTTTGGAGTCCATTGAATGCAGTCACTGCATGTCACTGTAGGCCAAGCTCAGCATATGCTATTTCTGAAACCGTTAAAAAGTACGTCCTTATATATTGCACTAGGCTAATTGCACGCGAAAGCGTAAAAAAAAAAAGTTTTTTTTTTTTTTGTGGGCAAACAAACTTATGAGACTAAATGAATATGACTCACTTTTACCCGCACTACATCCAATATACTATACGTACAACTCGCCACGGAAATGTTGTTTTCTTTTTAACGGAGGGAGGGACTGGAAAATCCGAAGAAAAATTAAACCCTCGTGGCAAGAGAAAACATGTTTCGAAACTTTAGAAATAAAAGATGTAAAAGACAAACATTTTACCCGCCACACTGACTAGGTAGTTTCAGTTTACTTATAACAGCAAGTAATTTATCAGCATTAAAAAGAGTTGAAAAATCCTCTTGTATTGCGTCATGCTCATATTGAATCTCTCCTCTCTCTCCGCTCTCTCTCTCTTTTCTGATTAGGTAGTATGCTATAAATGACTAATTTCCTACCAGCCATAAAAGGCTTCAAAGCCGGTTCATCTTCCGGACAATTTTAAACTGAAATTGCAACTGCACATAACATGACTTCAACATAATTGGAAGTAAATTTAACGATTCATTTAAACTTTAACTCACTCATACCGCGTCAAAAACACTAGGATATTAGGATATTTCTGAATTTAGCACATGTAGTAGCTCTTAAAACATTTAGGCTGTTAACGCTGTATGTCGAATTGTTATCTTTGAGTCGTATTTGCCGTTACAATCCCATTTTCTAACAGTGGTTTTTCTCATTATTGTCCTCCAATTTAGTTCTAATGCAGCTGATTAATGTTAAATAATTAAGGCAAAATGTTTTCAACTCACTTCCTTTTACATTCAGCGATAAAACGAGCAAGATCACACCAAATGTGAATGCCTTCATCTTCGGGTACTATTTGTGTTTAATCAGTCTTGATGCGTCTCCAGAAAATGTACAAAAATCCAGCTGGGTGGTGGTTTTATACAACGCCAAGGTCACCTGATGCAAGCCGGTCCCTTTTTCCCGAGAAATATTTGACTTCTACGAATTAGAGTGCATTCAGTCAATCTGTTGAATAGGGTGAGTTGACGTCACCTGAATTTGATAAGTTAGTTACTATTTTAGGTGACCTCACATAAATTTGAAACTACGAGTAAACAGCTACTGTGATCAGGGGGAGAAATGATGATACAAATGAATGTCTATTCACTCATTCTCTGGTAAAACAACCCCCCGGATTAGCATGATCGGTATTTGGCGCTCTTTTACTATTTGCCTAAAAAAAGGCGGATTTCGGAATCCGGAATAATCGCACGGAATACTAAAACCCGGAATCACCAAAAAAACACCTTTTTTTTAAATCCCAGCTTTAAATCCAAGCTCTAAAAAAAATAATTTTATTTTTCTAATTAGCTTATCAATTACATTGCGATATTGATTCGATTTAAAGATGAATCATGAAAATAAATCGATTTGGAATCTAGAGATTAAGAAATTAAATCAAGGGAAAAAGACATACGGTAAAATAGGTTAGGTATAGAGTCGGTTCACAGTCGTTTTCAATCGGACAAGGCCAACGTGGCATATCCGTCAATCAAAAATGCGCTTATAATTGGATAGATTGGAGAATGATTTGCGTATTCTTAGGAAAACGTTCGGACTCGACGTCTTGTTGGTCTCGTATGATTATCGATCTTGTCATGCGCCAGGGTAGTAAAGCCTTTTTTTCCAATACTAGTTCGGGGGAAAACTGGAAAAAAAGTACTCTTTATTGAAACTAAGGATGAGAAAAAGAAAAAAAAAAAGAAAAATATTATTTAAGATGGCAGGTTTGGTGGATGTTTTCCAGGCTTGTACTGAGAGGGCTGGTCAGTATTAGCGGTACCATGCATTTTGGCAACCTTCAAGTTATGTAGAAAACATATTTCATTCGGTTGCACATCTCACTGCATTGGTTAACGTGACTTTTTTTAACGTGTATTTCTCTAAACCTTACTGACTGAACAGCCCGCCTTATACAAGAGGAAGAAGGAGTACGTCTAGGACCCGTAACTTAGCACGATCACGTGTCACCAGCCATGTTGGATGACAAGAACAACCGAGAATGTTCTGTCATCCAACATGGCGGCCGCCAGGTGTTAGCGCAACCACCTAATAACATAGTAAATCAATTGATCAGAACTTGACTAATAACTAAATGCATAACTGCATGTATTTGTAGAGAAGAGACTTGAAAACTTGTAATAAACAAAATAGTATAGAAAAAAGAAATAAGCTTTAATTGTTGATAATGACATTTATAAATATAAAGAAATGACCTTATTGTGTTTATTGGGTTCATTACAGCATCATCACATCGTCCATGGACATCTTTGATCGTCTTGGTTTGTGTGTGCGTCTGTTTCTTTTTTTTCTATCAGGGTTGGGTTAGTCTATTTTCTGACAGAGTAAACCTTTGATATATTACCAGTCCCCCTTGAAATAAAGTTGTATAATTAGTGACTAACAGTCCAAGTAAAACAAAGAAAACAATGGAATTAGTGTCTACCACAATTATACTTGCTATTTTCACGGGTCAAGTAAAACTTCTTTAGTTCCCTTTCCTCTCTATCGAGTATCATGCCGCATGCAGTCAATTGCCTATAAAAGGAGCTATATCCGACTTCATTGCGCTTTTGAAAATTTCTTTTAATTGATATTTGCGCACTATAAATTAATAAATTATTATTATATTAAAGACTCTGTCGCTAGAAAATGGTTTTTACAGCCGCATTTTACTGTGCACGGCCCCAAAAAGTTTTACAAAGCTTATGAAACCCGTGGCAGCAAACCTCTGAAAGAAAGCTATCCGCATGGTAATGTATCTGGAGGATTTTCTACTCTTGAACAAAGTACTCTACTAGTATCATAGTGAATCTCCCCTAATCCTTCGGGTTCACCATAAACATGGACAGATGGAAAAATCCACTATGAGCCCTACACAGGAAATAACGTTCCTGGGCCTGGTCATCACTTCAATAAGCATGACGATATCCCTGCCTCCAGAGAAAGTACATAAAATTATGAATGGTTATTCAACCATTCTTCAAGACGTGCAACGTTTCCACTCCGAAGACATTCATCCAGAAGTTGCCAAGCTACTCATCTCAGCGACTCGCCCCTCCACACGCTGTACATAGCGGCCCGAAGATATAATTCATATTATTTGAACAGACAAAGTGAGAAATATACCCTATATCCTACCCTGACGTTTCAATCAGTACCTCTCAGCACTGCGTCAAAAAGCCAGCGATGCACCATGGGTCCTTGACGTTAATTTATAGGCGCACAAGGGGTAATGGGTAGGGAGACATTTTTCTTTCTTCTTAGGATAGCCTATTGGATCCTAACCTAGTATAACTCTCATTTATCCGCCAGATGGCGCTATCCAGGCTTCGTACAACCGTGCCCAAAGCCTTGTTTAGATGGTAGTGAAATTTCTACAGCTTGTCCTTTCCGAACTTTGCGTGTTTTGTGAGGTGTACTTAAAGAGGCTCTTCCCGCTAGAGATAATTAATTTAAAACCAACCACGCCCATTTTATTATTGTTTGATGTCGGGTTTGACTGAATTTCGATGGAAAATCTGAAAAAATATTCAATATTTATTAATAAGCTTAGAACCTTTTTCGTTACTATTTCACAATGCAATGTCCTTCATTAATAGCCACGCACTTAATGCTTTCTTATTTCTTTCTGCCGAATTACGATTATTTAATACATAAAAACCATCCTATACTACGTGCATACATTCACTTTCATTGTACATACAGTTTGTACGTATGGCAGTGTATTGATCACTTCATCCCCGAGCTGGAACGTTTCTTCTAATGTTACCGTTGTTCCTCTGATTCCATGCATAGTTGTACTCTTTCAGGTATTTGTTTTCAGAATCCCATACAAACTCTTTTGATCCACGGAGGTTTTTGGCCCGCACTAACATCGTATATCCATCTTTTATTGCCTTGTTGATTAGCGCACTCTTATGAGAGCCATTCCTGCAGTATTCCTCAATACGTTCGTTTATCGAACCGGGGCCATCTCGATGAGCACTACCAATATATACCACTTGTATTTTCTCTCCCTTTAGTGAGAAACCAAGCTCGTAGATACCATCATCGTAATTTTCGCGGAATCGCCCCCTTATGTTGCTGTAAATAGAACCGTTGTGGCCCCTTGCACGTGGCTCGTAGTCTGTTGAATTGTGTGCTTCAGGTACAAGAGCGGTATACCAGTCACTCCAGCAAGGTGCCAGCGGGAATACTCGTGCAACCTTTTCTCTGAATGGTTTTCTCGGCATTGCTAAAATAAAAAAAATTAAATTAAATAAACACAATTATTAAGTGTCTAGTCGTTCTAGCGCTTTTCGCAGTAATTGGGGACACTTTTCACTCACACACACTACACAACGCTCAACTCATATGTTGATTTTTACGGAGGGAGGGGATTCGTACTTAATTACAATTACAATGATATCATATATATATATATATGTATAATTAACCTATTTACAGGATGCGAGGTACTTGACCCAAACAATTACACGGATAGTGTAAAGAATATAATCATTTTAGGATATGAAAAGGATCGAGAAGACACTGAAATAAGTTTACTCATACAACTCTCTATTTATTTGGACGCCATTTTTTCTGTCAACGAATGTTATGTTACCAAACGAAACTTAGCCTTGGAATTACTACTAATGATTATGTGCTCTTCCCATCTATATAACAGACAAAACTCTCGTTCAGGGTTTCCCAGAGCCTCCGATTTTCGCTATGAGGAGGCTAGCGCTCTGGGTATGAGAATGGGAAAAGGCCTAAAATACGTGACGACTAGGCACGAGTCTGAAATATTAAGATTTTTAAAGACATTTTAAAAATCCTAATTTGTAAGCCTCGCCGGGTGCAATTCGTCACGTATTTTAGCCTCATCCCATTCTCGTGGTTCGAACCTAGGACTCGCCATCAAATGCAACTAAGTTGCTTGTTGGTTCTTCCCCGTGCTTCGAGGTGTTTCTGCGGGTTTTTTCGGCTTTTCTTCCCCAGAAAAAATCAAATCCTAAATTACTAACTGAAATTGTTTTAGCCGAGACTTCAACAGGTTTTGTAATCACAGTAAGTTGTTTTCGTTAGGTACATCAATAATGACACAAAAGATGTTTGGTTTGGTTTAAATTATTGTTTAAATCTCCCAGGAAAGTTTTCATGTGCAGTTGATTCATTTCTTGAAATTTGCTTCGCATTTTTAAGACATTTATTCGAAGTGATTATCCTCAATGATTTTTTTTTGCAATTTTGCATCATTTATATGTATCAAAAGAGAAACTAACAATATTGCGAATAGTCCCTTTCACAGTTCCCTGCGTCATCTTGAAAGGTAGCCGTGCCTTTGCATCGAAGAGAGAAGAACGGTGAGCTAAACCTTACAAACCTTATATCTAAAAATTTCGAAAATTATGTTTGTGAATACATTTTGCCTAATAGCAGTGCACCTTATTGCAATATTTGTCAAAAATATTCTGGCAACATTTTAGCCCTACGACATTTTGTTCCTCTTCCAACATTTTAAACAATAGAACTGTCATCAGATTGTATCAATAATATAGTCTTTCCATGAAACATGGAAATGTTATTGTTCGAAGTTTCCATGGTCATTTTACTGTTGCTATAAAAGAAAAATTTGATTGGTTATATATTGATGATTTTTGTCTCAGTAAGGCAGTATGCTACTTTATATGATCTCTCTTGAATATTCTACTGGATGGTGTTTTGCTATATTTCAGAAGATTGGACTTCTCCAGATCAACGGTCATTCCACAGATTCTGATACACAATGTTTGCCCAATAAAGAAAGGTCCCAAACCAATTTAAGATCTAATGGCAAATATATATAGTACTCGAACAGAAGTGAAAATACCCAAAACACAGACAAAAGCCCACAACGTATCTAAAAGAGCAGAATACATGAGTGCCTATAGAAACAAAAGAAAAGCAAATCAAATTGAAACAGATAGGGGAAAACAAAAATCTTATATAAGGGGATACAGTGTGTGGCCCAGTATCCTGCCACTTCATCTAAAAATCACCGTAACCCGACCAAATTATGAATCAATTATCCTCCAACATAATAAGAACAAATTTGTCATTTGTATCCTTTTTCCTTGGTTTGCATCGCAGTTTTAACGAAGTGGTTTGGAGATCCAGTATCCTGCCACTGCCAATAACCGTGTGTCAGGGGAGAAAGCGTTGCGTGACGACACTGAAAGCGGCTGTGGGGGAGACTAATAACCGTGCGGTTTATTGAGATCCCTGCGTCATTTAGGTGCTAAATAGCAAAAAAGGCACTTTCTGATAGTTTCTTATTTTACTTTAAAAGTTGCAAAACAAGTTAGATATCATTCATCGCCTTGAGAAATAATTCCAAATGGCTCTCCTACTTTCGATCGTCATACAAAATTTTGACGTTATAAGATCCGCTTATTGATATTACAATCTAAGACACAAACAAATAGATACCAGTTAAAAAAAGTTATTATCAATTTGATACTCCTAATTGATCATTTCTAATTTTAAAGTTATAAATTTATGAAATTAAGGCCCCGTCCACACGTGTCCGCAAATTTTCGTATCCGTATCCCGAAAATTTTTGAAAACGGTCTCCAGAGTGGAAATTTTCGAATACGCTCCGAATACGGATACGTGTGGACGGTCGTATCCGCAAATTTTCGAATACACTGACCTAAACAACTATCCGTCAAGGGGACTAGGCACTAGCGTGTATCAGGGCGGATCAAGAAAATTTAGGATACGTGTGGACAGTGAATACGATTCGAAAACGATTCGAATACGCTGCGTGTGGACGCGAACATTTTCGTATCCGCAAAAAAAAATTTGCGGATACAAAAATTTGGGGCTACGTGTGGACGGGGACTTTTTTTTTTTTTTTTTTGACTCCGATGAAGGACTAACGTCCGAAACGTCAGTTTCATTTTTACATACCATACGGTGTTACAAATTATCTATCTATCAACTTATTTATCTATCTATTACTGCATTATCGACTTTCACATCCCCATAATCCTTTGCGTCTTTGGGGGTAACCAGAGGGTAAAATCCCACTTATTTTGCTGAAGGCTGGTCAGACAATGTTGAAAATACCTTGTTTGGTATCCAAAGATAAACTGAAGAAGTAAAAAACAGAAAAAGATAGAAGCTTGAAGACGTTTAAGGTAAATTTTTAAAAAAAATTTTAAGTCAATACATTTTCTGTAAGACCAAAACTCTTGATGATCTGTACACGCAAAAATAACTTGGAATAAACTGATCATCAGTATTGTACAGATAAAAGCAGGTATAGTATAAATGCAATTAGGAAACCTTTCAATTTGGGGCAGTTTTTTGATTGGTTGCCCCCAAAAGACATTTGGATTGTGACGGATTGTGACGTGTCGACAACGGATCGTCTTGACCTTTGGCGATCCGTCTCACTGGATTTCATGAAGTCTCGCTCTATAAATCAAATACACACCTATGGTTCGTTATTATGACATGCCTCGTTCTATATGAAGTCAAATACAGACTGATCGATCGTCATTATGACATGCCTCGTTCTATCAAGTGAAACAGGCTGATCGATCGTTATTATGATATGCCTCGTTCTATCAAGTGAAACATGCTGATCGATCGTTATTATAAAGTGAAATTCGTCGTTTGCAACCAAGTGGTTTTTTTGTTGTCGACAACGTGTATTTTGCTGGTGCCAGAACACTTTTACTGGGTTTATGGTTCACCACTAGTATATCTATGAGCAAAGAATTGGAGTATTAGAGCATTTCTGAAACGAGCTATGGTCGAGTTCCGTATTTTTAGTGTAAATAAATGGCGAAAACTCGCTGGTGGACTAGTTTGGTCCACCAGGATGGCAGCCGAAATAAAAAAAGTATTTCATGCAGAGCAATTTATCAGACTCACTTTTAAGACATACATAAATCGAATTTAAAAACATTTAGAACACTAAAAATGTTTCAACGACTTTTGCAAATCCGTAAGCAGTAAGGTCAGAATTATGTGAAGAAAATCAAATTTGCACAACCTGAAAACAAAACGGTGAAACGATCTGAACTTCTCTAAACTTAGGCATCATATAGTTCTCTAAAACATATCAAAGAATGAAATCTATAGCATTCGATATATATAATTTAAGTTGCTATTTTCTTGGTCTGTGACGTCACTTGCAAAGGAAGAATAGACTGATCGATCGTTATATATTATGACCGTGCCTCGTTCTGTAAAGTGAAAAACAGACTTATCGATCGTTATTACGACTTGTTTTCCGAAATAAAATTAACATTGGTTATATATAAGCACCGATAAATCAAGTTTCAGATTTTAGATTGGGCAAAGAACCGAGTGTTGGCGCGCATTTGCTGTGGGTTAAGATCGCAGTTTGATAGACACGATTGCGATTCAAACACTTAAAATCACCGGCTTTACTATTGTAATAGTTAGAAAACGCGAAAAATATCTACAACTTTCAGTTCATCCGTGGGGCGGCTTTTTAGAAGCTAAGTAATACTTATTTACGATAGGCCATAATGGCCATGCTTAGTATGTCCGAGCATCAGCACGCTTTGATCGTATAGTAATCATATACTTTCTTATCAACGTTCTATTCCAGTCCGTGCCGATCACGGCATATGCATGCTTACCTGTTAGTGATGAAAAAGCTTTCCACGTTCGGACTTTTAGCGCTTAAAAATGCTTTTCTTTCTATAGAAGTGCGGTTATCATACAGTCAAGCCAGTTTGCACTACTTTCGCGCCGATTTTATAAAGACACCAACCGAAAAAAATTCCCTATCACGTGATCTGGCACTTTCTTGAGCCCCGGATGTAATCGATTCACTTCCGCTTTTTTCTGTAATACCAGTTGGTGTTTCCTTTCACTCGACTACGGCGCCAAATTACTGGTCAGATGTCGCTTCGAGAAATCTAAACCTTCGAGCGACTAATAGAATCTTGCGTTCAATGAAGAACTTTTCTGACAAATAAAAAGTTTTAGTTACAAAGAAGAAATCTAGTCGAGTTTTTCATAGTTATTTATAAATATCAACTATCACTCACCAAAAAAATCTTACGAGTCAAACTTTTACTCTTCGAGCAAGAGCGGGGATAAAAATAAGCCTTCCTTTCTCATAGCTTTCGATTTGTTACACAACGCCAGGAGTCCGTTCGCTACTTTACAACGAAGCTAAAATAACTCCACTAGATTGCTTGTTTCGTAACTGAAACTCTTCCTTGACATAAATATCCTCCAAAACATTTCCTAAGAAAAGAGCGAAAGCAAGAAACCTATTTGATATAACAGATTACAGCGATTACACTCCCATTGCGCCAAATGCGCTTTGAAATTTCTTTCTCTAAAAAAACATTCAAATAATAACAAATTACTTAAAATTACTGATAATAAACGATCAAAAATGTTATAGAGGAGGTTTACAGGCATCTTGAAATAAATTATGTCTTGAGAAAGAGTTAAAAATAAAGCCTTGTGAATAACAAAGAAAACCGTGTCAATTGAGAAATAAATGCAGTTATCTACCGCTGAAAGAGCATCAGCTTGACTGGTGCTTACACTGGGACTGAATGACAGGTAGATCTGGGTGTCATCAGCATCAGCATCAGTATCAGCCAGATGGCAGATGCGAATTAAGAATCTCAAACAGCTAACTCGTGTAGATTAAGAAGAGGAGGGGACCAAGACATGATCCCTTTGGTACACCATACAGTAAGGAAAACGTCTGAGAGAAAGTGCCGCGAACCAAGAGAGGGCAGTTCCATGAATGCCAATCACCGTTTCAAGCTTCTCAAGAAGTGTAGAGTGGTCAACGGTGTCGAAAGCGGCACTAAGTTCCAGTGAAGTTTCTGTCGAGTGAAATTTACGTCATGTGGTCAGAAATTTGCTTAGCAACTACCTTCTCTGTTAGTTTTGACACAAATTGAAGATTGCTTATAGGGCGGAAGTTCTTCAAGATCTTAGGGTCCATTCTAGACTTCTTTAGCAAAGGACGAACAAGAGCACACTTCCCAGACTCTGCAAAAACTCCCGATTGTAATGAAAGGTTGATCATCTTCATCTTCATCTTTAGGGCTCCTTTTGATATCAGATTGCATTTTGTATATCTGACTGGATAACCCTGTGTAAATAAAGGTTTCTATCTATCTAATAGGCAACAGCGTTCCAAACAAACAGGAAGATGCGGTGAGGATTTAAGCGGATCTAATAAGCAGCAGTTCTTGTTGAATGAAACGATAAGATCTTTCATATCCTCTTCAGAGAGACAAGCAAACTGAGAGAGACCAGCACCGGTGAAACAGTGTGTGGACCAAGGAGAAGACGCGGAGCTAGTAGAACTGTAAGTGTCAAGTTCACTCCTGATATGGTAGAAATTTTAAGAACAAAGTGTTCACCCCTTTCTTGAGCCAGCGTGAGTGGATCAGTATGAGGTGGAAGAATGCTGCGCTGTCGGTGTGCAGGTTGAGAAGAATCGTTACAAGCCTTGAACAGCTTCGCTTGGTCATGGGAGATTTCTGAAATAAAGCCGTTAGAATAATAGGTTTGGCGTGAATTGTCCATCAGGGAAATCAAGCAATTTCTCTTCGATTTAAACAAGCAGAAATCAGAATGAAGTTTCGAGGATCTCCAACGCCATTTGGTGCCACTTGCATCCAGTAAGAACACAGGACACGAAGAAAGAGTGTACTGAAGGTGATTTCATTAACTCATGAAAGAGAGTAATTGTTCTGAGAGCGACGCCGGCGCGGCTTGGCACCGATTCAAAAATGCGAGTAAAAATCTATCGATTGTTTGTTTGTAATAATAATAATAAACTTTATTACAGTCTCAAAGCTTCTAGCTTGACACACGTACCTTGCTAATCGTTGTTGCTGTTGCTCACTAGTTGTTTGTCATCGAGTTACGCACAGATGTCTGTGGGTGTGGCCTTTAAAATATGGGTGTGTCGGAGCGCGTAACTCGAAAAATGTTTAGCTCGAAGTGCGTAACTCGAAAATTGTAACTCGAGTTTTTCCTTCCCTCCCTTTATATATACGATTAGTGAACTCTATTTAGGATCTATTATACCACAGGCTTACCACCCTAAGAATTACTAGTGTGAGGTTTCTTGGGTTTGGGATCCCTGTGGCACCGAGATAGTTGTTAATGGGTAGACGAATTAAAAAAAAAAACAAATTATCTTGAAATAAAGTTTAATAGTTTATTACCTGTCTTGAAGTGGGGCTTTTTTCCCTGCAAAAAAACTCAAAAACGCTTAGTGTTTAGGGCTGAAATGTTCGACGGTTAATTCGACTCGGTCTACCTTGTCAAGAAATGAGACATTCTCTAAGTCCTCACCGGAAAGACGAATAGATTTAATTTCAACGTCTGAGATCCCCATTCAATCAAGAATCTTTTTAATCTTTAGCAAATCCGCTTTCCAAGCCCTACCCTTTCGGCTGTACAAAATGAAAACTTTCTTGCAGCTGATTGACGGCAATATTATATAACTTTATTCACTATATAAACTGAAACTGATAGAAAAAATCTGGGTTAATATCTTACACTTTACGACAAGACAAAAAAGTGCTCGATGTAATTCCCATCCATACTGAGTAGGAAAGAATCCATGCGATACCGCTGAAGAGACTGGATTCCTCATTATTCACCTGCGGTATGTAGCCAATGAGCGTTTTCTTCCACAAGTTTTCGCGCGCAAATACGTGCACACTTCCGTACACGCATCAAATATTGTGCTCAGAAGTGCAAATTTCAATTGGCTCATAGTTTATTATTAACTATGATTGGCTCTAACAACACGAGACAATGCGCCAAGATTGGAAACTACAAATGCTTTGACAACCATTCTTAGGTCGTTTGCAAAGCCACGCGTTAGTACAAGAAGGGCGAAGCATATACTATAGTTTATCGTTTGGTTTAGATCATAGATAATACTTAACATAGCATTCTTGCGCTAATCGCAAGATCCATACAACAGTTATTAAATATGTGTAAAATATAAATATATATATACAGCCAAATATAGAAGAAAATAATCTATTAAGTACTAGAGTAATTTTCAAAAACCCATGAAACAAATACCATTAGTTAGTGGGTAATAGTGAAATGACAACAAAGCAATGACATAATAGTCAACTAATTCGTATTAGGCTTATGTGTAATTCACGGGTTTATGAATACCACTCTAAAGCATTAATGTTTATGATAAACATTTCTTCCTTCATATCAATTCATTTCTGTACAAAGTCCTACAATGCCAGGCTTATGAGTAGATTTAGTAATTGCTCGCGTTCACTCGGGCTTCTGTAAATCCTGCTCTGAATTCCCAGTGCAAGTAGGGCATCGTTGGAGTCCATTTTCGTTACACACTGTACACTTCAATACGCTAATTTCCCGCGAGATTCGCGTCTTTCTTGAGGTTTTGCTACCTTTACATGAAGTGCAGTTGACGTACTCGTAACCTCCACACGTCTCACACACAGAACCGTTCAACTTCTGCAAGAAAGATAGGAAAAATAAGGACCTGAAATATATCCTAAAAAAATAAAAATAAAGTTCTGTACAGAATGTTTGTATTTTTTTCCCTTCGTTTGCTTGTTCATTCGATTTGTTGATTTGTTGTTGGAGACTGTGGATAATATCATCGTATCTGTTGTTTTGTTAAACAAGCTGACATGATACTTGCAAAGAATTTTCGTACGGGTATGTTTCGACAATGGTGCCCCTATAATCTTCAGTGCACCACAAAAGAGAATTAAATGGAGTAGAAAAGGACTTATGATTTTTTTTAAATCGGCTTGTGGCATCAAACTCACATGTATGTATCCGTGATAGATACGACAATGAGATAGTGATCACCCAGAAACTGAAATTTGAATTCGTGTAAAGAGGTTTTGAGGATATACCTAATGGGACTTCGGGATAAAGTAGGCTGGAGGCGTCCTCCTAGAGCCTCTTCAGACGGAAATGTACAAGGTACGCCTAAAAAACACCTMAAAAACACCTAACMRACCTTACCTCAAAGTCTGACAGTAGACTTTTTAACTGCCCTAATTCGTTGATTTCTGTGATTTCCTCTGTTCCCTTAAAAATGAAATTAAATAAAGATCATCTATAAATATTTGAAACCAGCTGCTGAAAGGTTTCGGAATATCGACGATTTATTATTGTTCTATTTTTCCAAGAAAATCAATTTTTTTGAAATATTTTAAATTAAAAAACATTATTACAGTGCAGCAGTCTGAAGACGCAAAGCATTGGCAGATGAACGTGCAAGGGATTGAAGGGGCAACGCCATGGAATTGCTAGAGGAACACACAAAACATTATTACAGTGCAGCAGTCTGAAGACGCAAAGCATTGGCAGATGAACGTGCAAGGG